TCAAATGCTCATCAGCAAGCTGATATCTATATATTTGTGGAACTCTAAGCAGCGTTTGATGAAGAAGGGCTCATTAGGATGGCGAACAGTTCAAATGAAGCGCTCAAGTCTAGAATTGCTATTAGTGTAATAAGATACGCATCTCGCCTTAGGGCATATAGTCATCACTCATGAATAAATCTGTTACTAATAGCCATAATGTCTTCACCTAGGCTTATGAGAGAATACTAGAGACTATGCCGTAGGACTTGGATTACATTTCAGATTAAAAAAGGAAAATGATTACTGGAATCTATTGTGCGCCCTTATGAACTATTGCATATTCAAAATTTCATGATCCAAACCTATGACACCCACAAAACTATCGAGCTATCCAATCATTCAGAAGTCAACATAGTTTTTTTTTCAAATAAACAGAGCCGCTTCAGCAAATGATTGCCGCGCGATGTCTGGTCACCAAGACCAAATATAGTTTGCTCAACTTTCGCCGAACACACGTAAAAACGTCACTCTAATTGTGGAAAGGACAAACGAAATGATAATACTGCCGGGATAGTTTTCTCGAAATTGAGTCGAAAAACACAATTTGTGCTCTAGGACCACTAATGATTTTCTGAGGTGGAATAGCAAATTTTAATTAATGTATGTCACATAGTTTTAGAGAATGGCAAAAATGGGTTAAATTAGGAAAAACGGAAAAGATAAGGGATTTGATGATTGCGATTTTATCGCCTTGGAGAATTAGGCGCGTGAATATTAGAGTTGAAATTCAATTGCCACAAACGGTCATGTTTCTTACACGGAATTTTAAAAAAACAAAATTCAAGTTTTGAAGTTTAAATCGCTACAATCTATGTTCTTCACAAATAAATGCTTCTAGCGACTTTTTTTTGAAGGTACACACAATTCGAAGGGCTGGGAGAGGGGGACCAAAGGATCCGATAACTGGTTGCGAATTTTTCGTCCTAAATCGCTTTTTTTTCCTGCATGCGAGACAGCAGCAAATGGATCACCCACGCTGCGCCTGTTATCAAAAAAAACCTTT